AGGGGAAAAGCCCCGAGGCAGCGGATCATTCAGCCGCCATTGGAGAAAGCTTCCTGGCGGCCCATACACGGTGTTTGTTCTGCACTGTGCACATTGGTTAAAAACCAGGAGATCTTTAACAGAAGCAATCTCACTATCCGTCGCCTTCGCAGTCTCCGTTCGTGTTCGTACGGCGGTCAAGGTGGCTGCCTGATTCCAACATTGCCCCCATCGTACAGGGTGAGCACCTGTAACCGGCGGAGGCCATCGACCTTGCAACAGTCGAGGCATGCTCGCCATTGATGGCTAGACATGATGTTCTGAACACCCCCGCCCGCTCACCTACACGGATCTGACTGCCCAATGCAGACGAGGCCATGCCCAGCCCAACTGACTGAACCTCCGCACGATGACCCCAGCGCGCTATTACACGGCCGGGAGATGGCTTTCACACGACTCGAAGAGGCACACAGAGGAGACTCTGTTGACGAGACGGCGTCTAGTGTGGCCCATGCCCCTGCGCTACGCACCGACAAGGATTGAACGCGCACACCCATAGAATCCCTTGCGATGGGTTCAACAGCAGGGGTACAAGTACACGCCTCCTGGTGCCTGCTAGCACAGACATGGATACCTCACTTAACGGGGAAGTGGAGTGTCCAGCTCTCTTCTGAGCAAGCAAAAGTTTGTTCCCACGCCCCTCTATGTAGAAGGTTCGGCGTTAGGCGGGGAGGTACTATCTCTAGATTAGCAATATGATTTAGGCGTGGAAAATAGAATCTGTACTTACGTGGTAACCCCCTTGTCAATTCTCTGCGCTAACGTATGGGATCCCTGGGGAGGTGTAGAACTTCAACCTCCATGGATGATGGGTAACAGTGCAAGAACCAATCACGGCGGGCATGGGGGGTCCACAGCCCGTCGGTGTTTGCTGCCAATCCGACATCATGCCCTTCTCCAGATGCTAAGCGCACAGACGAACAGGGCATCCGCCAGTTGCCTGTCATGTTGAGCGGCGAGGCCATTTAAGCACACCGTTCAAGAGACACAACCGGCAGCGCGACGGCTCGATGAAATTGGACGGTCTCGCTGAGGCGATTGATCACGGTTTTGAACCTACTTGAGTTGTAGGAGTCTTGGTCGCTTCTTCTCAAGTGAGCGGCGAATGTGTGCGCAGAATCACGTAACGAAAAAGCGCCACCCATGCAGAAACTATCATTCTCCTCTTCGAACAACCATGCCGACAACACATCAAGGTTGTCGCTGCGCATCGCAATTACTGTTGTCGGTGCCGTCGCTGACTCGCCCTCCAGTGACCTCTCCGCTGTAGTCAAAACAGGCGTAGCCGTTGTTGGGCGACTACACGCTAACCTCATCGAACGTGCAGACAGCACATTGCGGCCGTGCGGGGGTGTCCGCGCCTTGCAGCCCTGGGACTGGGATGCTACACACGGCTTTAGATCCGTTCATCCCGTGGTGTTCCACCGCGCAAGGAAGCGGATGATTGTGTAGTGTACACTATCGGGCGAGGTGATGCAGGAGCCAGCGACCGCCATACCCGGGAGCTCACGAATGCACGTCCCTCCCCTGGCGATGTTTGGGACAATTGACGACCCGGTACAAGTCGCGCGCGCTCTCATGGCTTGCGCGACACCCCCATCCACCTAGACGCAAGGACTAGGATTCGGCCGCGGCTCTGGTCCGATCTCCGTACCACCGGCGCGGCGCCGTTTCGTCCCGCCGCGCCAGGAAAATCCTGGGACGTCATTCTCACCGGTGTGTGGGTCGCGCGTCGAAAGCACAGGCCACCACTCCGTAGGTCCCCGACGTAACTCCTCGCGTCGGCTTCTTGTCGAGGCTGCCACTGGTATTAGTATTCGAGAATACGACCTGTAAGATGTAATACGCAGTGTATCGAATAACATGTTTTCCTCCCTTTGATGACATGTTTGCTTGCTCCTACAGCAGCCGGCCGAGGACCTGGCAAAAGCGCCTTGAGGGTACGAGAGATGTCTTCATCCCGCGTCTGGGAACTGAACACATGAATGCCGGGAGGCCAACATCATGCCACCTGTGTTCCAAATCACCTCCGACCAGCGAGGTAAGCGTGAGCTGCTGGCTGTTAGAACGGTCCTAACTCTTTCACAGGGGGACGAACGGCCTAGTCCAGCCGGGTGAGCGTCCACGGGTGCACACTTTGATGTTGTCCTCAAGACGCTTTACACTGCTTCGGCAAGTGAAGCGGAGTATACACTATTTGCATCCATAAGAAGGCAATCCAGTGTGAACACGTATGATATGGGAATCGAGTACATATTTTCTCTTGAAGCGCCCCTGACATCTTATGCATCCAAAAGGACGCTCTCTGACGTGGGCCGTGATGTAACGAGAGAGTACATGTTGGTTCTTGAAGCGTCTGCCACAATCTTTGCAGTTGCAGGCGCGCCCTCCGGCGTGATGGAGGGCGTACAAACCGAGATTAGGCATAGAGACCGTGTTTGAAAGCGTTTTCTTTTATCTGGCTTTTTGGTCAACCTCTAAAGATATTATTGTTGGGTTTTCACCGCCGTTTGTTACCGCTGTTTAGACGGCATAGCGATAAACCTGATCCGTCGGGGAGCTGTTACCAAGACGAGGGACGAAATCCGGACAGTTTAAAATGATCGATCAATGCGTACAGCCCACGGATTGAATTAGACTGGTCGCCTAGAGACGGGAACATATTGCCTTCGGGTGTGCCAAAACTCCACTACACGCTCCTATGGATGCGTCTTCTTGCCTCAGGAAATATGCGGTAGCTGTTTGAAGAAGAAAATCAGGAAGTTTCTGGAGCAACGAAGATCGGAAGCCCGTTGAGATAGATATAAAAGCCTTGGAAATAGGAAGAACACTCTGGGATTGAAAGCTTACCATCCGGAGCCCAACGGCTTTCGTCGACAGGAAGGTGGCACAAAGCCCCCAGCGTTGGGACCAATGCCAGCCGAAGGCACCGACCCTCACGTCCAGCCATCCACCGGCTGAACTTCTCCAATCGCCCCCGACATTGAAGATTGGATCGGTCAGCTCTCGTTTGCGTACACACAAAAGTAACAGGTCGTCCAATGTCTTGACTTATCTGCCGTCAGAGGTATACGATTCTTCACTTGAATGCATTGCCCACATGGCTAGCCTGCTGATCAAGTCACAGGTCGAGCTTGCTTCATCTCCTCTTATCTGAAGATCCACAGAGACGCCTTTCCTCACCAGCTTGTTGAAGTGGCTTCCTCCGTAGGACGAAATGCTCATCTAGCTGGGCACCAGCCCATCAATATTGCTGATTGTATCATTGTACTCTCTGAAAACGGACGGTCTGGGATGGATGGCACCTTCGACGGGAGACGTGACATCAGCCACGTACTCGACATGTCCGCGAGGCTGCTTTGAATCTCAGACTCGCAAGCCTCCTGGAGCATGGCCAATGTGCTGCAGCAATATCCGACCCGCAGGTCCGGCCAGCATAACCTTGTGCCTCTTACTGAGGGCGAGTGGGTGTAACCCCTGTCAGGTATCGTTTCGTAGACACGCGTACCTTCTTCTCCACTCACCGCCCTCGTTCGTAGTTCTCCCCACTCCCGATGGATCATGGAGTACAGGGGAACGACATGGGCTCAGCGTAACGAGCCAGGTTCTGCAGGGGGGACGAACCGCATCTGGCATCCCTGTTTTGTGCAAGGAAAGCGAGGAGCTGTGGCCAACGCCATTAGGTGTCGTCGACTCCGATTGAAGTCTTGAACTTGATGCATTTATCGGACGAGCGAGGCGGCATTTTCTTCACATCGCCTTTGACCAATGATTGATTCGTCCAATCGCGGAACCTCCGACACGCACATCCACTCTCCACACCCATCTCCTCATATTGAACAGAGCTGTCAATTTCGTATAGCCGCACATTGTGTATTATCGGAAGGCAACTAGTCTAGCATTATAAATATGATGGGTTTGGCGCCTTCTGCTCGCCAGGACATTTTCACCGTTCAGATATTGACCGAGCAAAAAAGCATCGCGAAGAACAAATTGCACGAAGACGACTTCAATACTAGTATTTGTTTGTGGGTACAAACCCATACTTGATGCCAATTGTAGACGCATACTCTAACTCATTCCAGGCCCACAACCTCAACATGTGCACGTGGCTTGACACACTTTGTCCCAGGTGCGAAAGCACTCTTACAACTGTTCGCTCTGTCCATTGTGGTACAGCACACGAACAAACACGAGATAATACGATTCATGAAGCAGGGGCAAAGTGCGGACCTTGCAGTTTGCCCACGCCTCCGACTAGCAGCGATGACGAGTCTGCACATTAGAATCTTGACCAAAGCAATTTGCATGCACCCGGGCTATCATCAACTTGTTGGATTGACGATTGTGTCTGGATAAGGGAATGCTTAGGATGTATTGAATACTATGTAAGAACTGTTGGATTGACGATTGATTGATTGATTGATTGATTGATTGATTGATTGATTGATTCCTACTCGAGTCGCATGTACTGTACCTCAGTCGAACTGCAAATGATTTTGCTGCTTCCTGCCGGGTTCCTATGTGGCTCATGTTTCCTCGTCCGATTACTGAGTATGTGAGTATGAGAGCTCGTGCACAGATTTCGCAGACATTGTCGGACGTTAAAGGGACGACAATCCTTCTTCGCAGAGGGGGGAGGGGGACGACGGGTGACCAATCTGTCTGTAATGTGTAGTGTTTTGCGGCACCGATCGTAGCATGCCTGATGCCTGGTGCTTCTTCTGTGCAGGAGGTGATACTGTTCTGTCGGGCTAGTCGTCGTTGCTGTCGCGGGACGTTGCAAACTTTGTCGGGGATGATAAGGCGACCCATAACCTATCGGTGACTGTAATGTTGATGTGTTTGGGCGTGGTCGTTGTGCTTCTCGTGATAACCCGCAGGCCGCCAGCGGAGGTGGCGATGGTGTTGTCTCTTGGCACGTCGTTCTTTGTGGCTTGCTCTCGAATGTTTCGTGGTCAGAGCCCGCTCGCAGCCACGAGTAGGCGCTTTGGATGCAGAATCAATGCCGAGGATGGCATTGTGCCCAAAGTGGCCTCGGCAGACGCGAGCGGGTGTGGTTCGATCAATTTGGTGCTGTTCTCAAAAATTTCGTTCGGCGCTTTTGTTGGTGTTTTTTGTTGAATTGACGACTGTGTCTGGATAAAGAGATGCTGGAAATGCATTGAATAATATGCACGAACCGGTGATTGTGGGTAAATACGAAACATCACCCCGCTAAATCCCTCAATCGAGCACAACAATCAGCTTTTGATAGATGACCCCAGGATATTGCATGATATCAACATCTTTTGTCTAAGAAGTACACAAAGGGTCATCTTTGATAAATGAACCCTGTAAGCATTGCATCGAACGTCGCTCATGCAACCAATCGTCGCAACCTGCTTAAACTCATATTTGGATTATGATATGGCTCATCCCCGCACCTCTATAAATCATGCTTTCTTGACTCACAACAAATTGTTCTGTACGTTCAGGCTTTCACCGCGCAGTGGCAGGCAACGCAGCCGGTGGTTCTGTGTATGCTGGCTCTCACTCAGCCTTAGATCCTTCATACCAAATTTTTTCTACTTTTATCTCGACCTTCTACGATGGCTGAAAGAAGCGAAGAGCGAACCGCAAAGCGCTTTTTCATGCAAATCTCGCGGCGCAGTCCATTTTGGGCAGCAACGGACCAGGATATCATCAAAGCTGTTCTAGAACACCTAAGCGATGGCAAATCTCCACCCATCGCAGATGTAGACATCAAGCTTGTTATCCGAGAGATATGGCCTTCAGAAATATGGATTGTCGTCGACCTTCTCAACGATGCGTACGAGCCAACTGAAGCCCATTTGCCAGGCCGGAATGACTTGCCTGTGTATATTCTCCGTCTCGGCAAAGCTCGCAAACTTAATCCTGCTGGCCAAGCTCTGCAGGATAGGGTCAACAAAGAGGTCTGCAAGGCTCATGATTTGCACGGCAAAGACAGCAAAGTACCTTTCGTTGTCGATCACTCCGATGGCCGCATACCAACTTTCTCCAGTCCGCGATCACAAATCGTTCTACCACGCGGAACAAACACCTGATCCCAACTAGGCGCTTCTCGACCCATGTTGAATATCAACGCCTACCCGCTTTGGTGTCTGGTTGAGGGTTATTTCGTTCTGAATCATGACTAGCTAGCAAAAGTCGCTTTGGTCACCAGCTGTCATATGTAATAGCATTACCACGGTGATAGAGAATCTATGAAACAATACAAGACAGCCATCAGCGTCCAGCGAAACAAAGCCCCGCATTCTGCCGGTCATCGTCGTGCTCGATGATGCTTTGTGATGTCGCAGCTGTGCCGATGTTTGGAGTCACCTTTCGCTTGACATGCCCATAATACTACGAGCGCTTGCCTGGCGTTCACGCTTCAATTGCAGACTCCAAAGAAGCTGACGGGATGCGGGTGCTCAGCTGTCGTAAATTGAAAGCCATGAAGTCGAGTCTTCGACGTTTACCACCTGGACATCGCCGCTCGGGCAAGAAGGTGAACCGAGAGTTTTGCTCGCGTCGGAGAGCCCGGATGAATGAAGTGCCAGTAGAATTCGACCATCTCGTCCTTGGTCAAGGTCTCGATCCGCGCTGCGTCCTCCTGGTCTGAAATAGATCAGTAGCCAGTCATGGACAAGGAGAAGATGCCTACTTACCTTTCAAAAAGTCATAGTGCCCGCTTTCAATCTGACCCAAGTGCTTGTCACTCTCCTCTTTGAGATTTCTAGGGTTTTGAAGACGCTCGATGATCAAACTTTGTTAATGCTTCTCAAAAACGGCCTCGGACATAGAATCCAGGTCATGAGAGAACTGGCTCAAGAACGCCTCGATTCTCGTCTCGAGGTAAGCAGATGTCTTCTCGCTCTGGATGTAGAAACCAGGACCACACATGGTAGGAAAGCTCAAGAAAGAGTTGCCGACCAGATGTCCCAACTGCTCCTTGGTTCTATGTTGGTGGAACGCCGGCTGATGTGTAATCTGGAGAAGAAGCATCGCCTTGGTTCGTGTCGTGCGGTCGCTGTCATTTCCAACAAACAGAAATACCCCAATACAAGTATAGAAGTCTGCCGGGTTCTGCAGCGTCTTTCTGTGAAGATAGTCCGATCCCTTGGAGATGATAAGAGATTGAGGTACGGGCCACTAACTTCCCGCTGGTTCCCGGGGCTTCAAGGTCTTCTCAATCAAGTTTACCAGACCGATAGCTTCGAGTTTTTGGAAGTTGCCTTGTGCGAAGCACTCAATATGTATTAGCGAGAGGATCTTACTCCTGGGTTGAGAAACGTCATCGACGGTGTTGACCGACTCGCGCAACAGTGCTGCGCCTGGATGCCAGAGCTCGTAATTAATGCATGATACAAGTTCCAAAACTTGGAAGATGAGTGCCCGAAGCACTCCATTTCGATACTTTAGACTCAGGCTCTCTCTCGCGATGTCGAATTTTGTCTTCGATATTTCGTGGAAACAGGTCGAATCGAGAATTTTCTCTAAGAGAAGGGCTAGTTTAGCGGAGTACCCCGAAACGCTGAGCAATAGCCCTCGATCGAGCGTCCAATGCTGGACTGAAGACCTGCGAGCCTCGCATCGTAGCATTCGGTCTACAAAAAGTCCACCATCAGATTTACGAACAGTCTGATTGTGACAGCGTTTCTGAAGTCGAGTAGACATCAAGATGCCAGCACCTGACATTAGATGTGGCCTGGGGTACACCGGAAAGGTCGACCTTCTTCCACCAGCATCGCATGGTGGCATCATTTCGAATGAAACTTGGCGAAGGAGCTGATCTATGGAAAGCCTATGTATCGAATCCGAAATTGACAAGAATCCATGTGTTTTAAGCAGGAACATGAAGTTCTGCGGTCCTTTCGGAGGCAGTACACAATTTAGCCTTCCTGAGGTCCGCCATGAAGCGCTCACGGTGCCTAGTTCTGACTTATATCAGCTGCACGGCTGCACAGTTTGGGGCGAATGCTGGCGGGCTACGTGGCGGAAGCTGTCTCCATGCATTCAAGTTGCTCAGCTTGACAATTTGCAGTCCGCATGACCCCAACCGTCGAGCCGGCCGTTGGTCAACGGTGGCAGTCACTGTCTCGTTAGCACGCAGTGCGCTTTACGCGTGCAGATTGTTCAATTGAGGTGCGTAATGCACCCGATGTTCGAGAAGAAGAGAAAAAAGGTTTGGATCCCTTGGCCGCAAATGACCATGGACATACATGCCCGGCAAAAGGCCGGCCCTGCGGCCTTGCGTAACACAGGAAATAGTCAGAGACAGCGACGGATGAGGCGGGATGGCTGATGGAGGCTTGCTGAGCGGGGCATCACTGGGCCTAGAAGCAGCGACGCGCCCGCAGCCATCCGCAGACAAGGATATCGGTGCCATCTGCTCGCTTGCCTAAACCCCCAAGATGCTTTGCTTCTCAAGATGCTTCTACGCCGCAGCAGGGGCAGCGCGTGATCCTTGACGGAATCAGGCAGCAGAGGTCTTCGGCGGCCTGTCTATTGCGTACAGCTCGTGCGTAATGAATCTTCCCCAAGATCGATGATGAGCGTCGTACACGGCGGGGAGCATGTGGGATGGCGGCGATGAAGAGTCTAATCTGGGGCACTCCCTTTGAACCACCTTCAACGAACATGTCCGGGTACAACAGCCCATCGGGAATTCCTAGGGTGGCTGAGGACTATACAGTATTGTGCACTTGTCGCTTCCTCTTTCGCAAACATTCTCAATGTTTGAGACCTCTGAGAATGGCTTCAGCGGCTGATTTGCAAACAAAGATATGCGGTCCGGGTGGTGTTTGACAGTGCGAGTGGCAGCGCGTAATCAAGAGTTACTTGAAAGTTTCCATAACTGGCTTCAACAACGGCCATTTTCCTCATGATAATCACGGTGATATGTACACAGTAAGAAAGGGATTTGGCCCGGTCTGTGCGGGTCAACTTTAGAAAGATGAGGTGTGTTGCAAAGAGGAAGCAACATATGACCGATACAGTACGTAGCAGCCCACACCAGTTCGTCTCTTTCCTGTGGTCCGGCATAAAGCCATGAGGGTGGACTACAGAAATACCCCCAACTTGACCCAGCTCACTTCCAAGGTAGGCGCAGCGCGAAGAAGCTCAGCCGGCGCCCTAGAGGGACGACGCGACAGGCAACACCGCATATATGCATGTCCGTCATGTCCAGCTATGTCGATGCACCGTCGACCCGAGTTCTACGGTCTGGGCTGGTCATGTTGGTAGACTGCGCTCGCCGACTTTGATGTGTCGTCGAAATGGCCAATGATCCGCGCGCCATTGAATAGCGCTAACTGAGAGACGATTCGTGCTAGGTACTCACTAGTAACCGGGGCCATATTATGCAGGATCCTGCGGTTTCTTTATGGAGTTAGCACACCCCTCGCAAGTGGGCTGTGGGCGTTTGCCCGTACTGTGTATGTACCTTTTCGTCCGTCGACCGCGCCATACTCCGTCAACACTGCCGTCTTTTGACTCCCAGCCATGAGAGGCACCAGCCTACTGAGCCCAGACTTCCGTCATTCGCGTCTGCTCACACATCTGCCCCAGCGATAGAGTGGCCAAGCGTTTCAATGCCGCTCACTTGGAAAAACGGCTGTAAAAGGTATACATGCCTAGGACTGGGATGACCATGTCGCTCCAGCTTTTGACATCGCAACAGCCACCTTTACCTGCTCCCGTTCCCACTACATGCCTTGCTCGCCAATCAAGAGAGCAAAGAGACCACACAGACTTCGAACACTCTGATACTCAACGTCAGCGTGTGGTTGTACTCTTTCTGGCGCTTTTTGTCCTGGAAGAAGCCCATCGCCAGGATATAACAATAGGAGTGTGGGCCCCATTTTGATTCTCTTCGTCCCACAAACCGGCCACCTACGCCGACTCTCAAGCCTTTCCTGTACTGTATCCCTCAGCTATTGTTTGATCTCCAGGCCCTCAAATGCCCCCTGAGTCGTTGTCTTGAAGTCACCAGGTATTGTCGCTCCTCGCAGCTGCCAGTGCGGGGTTCGAAGTGCCGTGTCCTCAGTGGCGTGAGATTATCTTCGGCGATTCGTCTGATGGCTGATGAACTTCATCACCAAAGCTTTCATGATTTTGAAGACCCTCAGGCTCGCGTCAGAAGTGAGAATACAAAGACGAATTCGCCGCAAAGGACTGCCACGGTGACCAGCTTACTGCTCTCGACTTAAGAGATGAGAGCTGGTATAGAGCATGGGGTGCTCATAAGTACTTCCGGCAAGCATGCCACGCACAAACAATCAGAACCAAAGTATGCGCGTAGAGCCTCCTGATTGAAGATATCAGGGCCTACGGGGACTCCGGTTGCACAGCTATTTTCTCTGAAGTTGATAACGGCTGACGCTGAAGCACTGGACGGAGCCATCAGGCCTCACAACTTCGTTGGAACAGTCCAGACAAGTTGTTTTCTGCGGTTTCCAATGTCGAATGGGGCGCCGCTGGCTGGCAATCCTGGAGAGGGAGACTCAAAGTACGAGGAAAGTAGGGCGAGAAGGCCAGCTCAAGGTTTGAAATTCGAGTCATTACGGGTCGCCCTACATAAATCATCTCGAACTCCGGAATGCGCTGCTCGTTGCTCTCCAACCTCCTCGTCTACCCCTATTGGCCACGAAATGTAAGGAGTGGTAGGAGTCCTCTACTAACATACATGCATGTCTAGGCGCTATTGAAGTTTTGCGCCTCGCACAAAGGTTCGATTCGGACATGCCCATTGCTGCTCTGTTCTTGGGACTACGGGGGTTCGTGGCTCTTATGCTGGCGATAATTATGGGGTCTCCAATGTCCACGATGATCTCACGCAGAGTCTGGCTCTGGAGCGCTCTATGGCCATGGGAATTACGCATGATTCCTGCAAGTCTTTGGGCGGCTATGCTAGCATATGACTGCGCGGTGTTTCCCTCACTCAGCAGCTCCAGTGCTCGATGTCCTTCATGCCCGTGACCGCCAGCTCACTGGCTTTCCAGGCCCAATTAGCGGTTGCGTTGGCTGCGCGCGTTGTGCTGGTGCTTTCCTTGAGACCACGTCCTGCTGCATGGTAGACCTGATGGTCGCGGGTGGGTGACAAGCTCTCGGTTCATGCGTTGGCTATAATGGCTTCGGGGGCCAAGGATTGCCATTGTGCTTATGTCGCTACGGGATTCACGACAACCATACGGCCAGATGATCCTTCGGGGTGTGATGTGCCGCTGTTCTTGCCTCGGTTTCTAGGGTTTCGTTCTCGCTTTTGTCGATGCTTTCGAGTAGAGATAACATCAGCAGGAGCATGATACAGGTCTGGCGAGTGCTAATGAGCCTGCAGTAGATATACATCAATGATTGGCGTTTATCCCTTGGAAGCCAATCCTGACCTGAAGGCCCCTCTGCAGCGCAGATGCAACACCAAAGGCCAGTTGGTGTTGAGGAGTCGCCTTGGCTGACGACGGTATGATAACACTATGATGACGAATCGTAAATGAGTTCAGTCAGCATGCGGCTTGCTTCTGATGGGTGGGCATGAACGATACGCTATGGACCGTGGGCTCTCATTCGATCACTTTTGACTTGGTCTCATGAGTGCCTTGTACTGGCAGGAGCGCCTGAGAAACTTATGAGCTGCCGATGACGCCATCCAGATATCCCACCCCAGAGAGGGGTTGCTCAAAGACCATAACAGCACTCATCTATCCATCTCAGTTCTAACATTCAACGTGTAACATATTCCTTGCTCACTACCAACGCCTACCTCCGCCGGTTCCTCCACCGCGCATTACACAACATCGCAACTACACATCTGTAGGTTAGGCATGTCTTCTACTGTGGCTGAAATAGCTCGCTCCGTCCTCAACACACCTCCGGCATGTGATGCCACCATCGAACGCCTCCAGTATGTCGCTTCCTATAATTGGGTTGAGGGAGCCACGCCGACTATTGCGGTTCCAGGTAAGACGCTTGTAACACGCCTCATCATGTAGATATCCTAACCCATCATGAGGCCTTCCACCTCTTTGGGCCCCGCCATCGGGGTCCCCACGAATGACACCTGACTCTGGGACGAGATACGTTGATCAAAACGCTGCTCGATGTCCAAAGTATCCACTGGAGCCTTTGTTTCGTGCCGTTCGTGCTCAAAATCCCGACTTTGAGTTGAGTGATGTCGACATTATCACCGACAGAAATAGTATGCGAAAGTTGTTGCGCTTCGTGGAGGCATCCGCGTCTGATAGCTTCGAGATCAAGGCTGAGATTGCCGGTGAAAGGACGCTGTTACTTACACGCGTAGAAGAAAACTCGAAGGAAACCATCAAGGGCTTCAGGGGTTTCGGCCACAACTTCGAAAAAAAATACACGCAAGGGCTCGTAGGAAGTACTGGACATCGCAGAATTATTTCATATCATTTTGGCGGAATGAGGGTTCTCTTACGGCATGAGACCGACGGATGCGTTGCTGGCGTACTCGATTCCAACATGTCTGGAACGAAGTCGGACGATGTCGATGGTCTGTCTGATCGCCTGGGCTCAATGTTTGTCTCACAGGCACTCGAGTCGGCAAACGGTAAGGTAGCCATTATCAGCACGAAGACCAGGCCCATCGGTGTAGAGTCGACTCTCGAAATCAAGACCAGAGCTGCCCGTAGGCCGCTTTTGATGGAAGAAGTTGCTCCTCAACTCTGGTTCTCGCAGACCCCACTCCTTGTTGTTGCCTACCATCAACAAAATCGGTTCGCAGACGTCAATCTTCGCAACGTGAAGCAGGATGTCCGTGATTGGGAGGCAAAAAACCGGAATAACTTACGGAAATTGGCTTTTCTCATCCAAAAGATTCGGCAGGCGGTGAAGGAAATCGACGGTCGGCGTGGTGTGGTGAGATACCATGGTGGATCAGCAGTAGAAGTCATCAGCGATGTGCGGACTCGAGCATTGCCAGATGATCTTTACTCGTTTTGGGAAGAGTTGGATCAGAACAGAAACAGAATCATAACGAAGTGCAACGAGCACCCTGCCATTGAGCCCATGACGCCGTCCCAGTCTGTATCAAACGCGAGGCTAAACAACTACGACCCGGACGACCCCCTGGCTTTACGGCAGGCGACAGGCGCTATCTGTACTCACACCAGTACCGAAGGTAGCGCATCGTACTCCGATGTTATTGAACGTGGCTTGCGTCGCGGTTTTCGAATGAGTTTTCGCTCCATGCCAACTCGTCTCTCCGACTACCATTCCCTCTGCAGAATCCTCCAATCCCGTCAAGTCGACGTCCTTGCAGGGCGCTCTTTGCGTGATATTATGAGTGATATGAGACAAGGAAAAGACGACTGGGATCCGGATGAGCGGCATAGGATCTCGGGGTTCAAGAGTATCGCACGCGACTCGGCGTTCAGGCTGCTTTACGGTTTTGTTCTGAACTTGCCCGAGTTATGCGATCGGAATATGGCCTTCAATGCGACCATGTTCGTGGTTTCCCATCACAGAATATTCAAGTACAAAACACGAAGGATGGTGCGAGAGGCATTCGAGGAGAGGTTTCTCATGTCTCGCAAACAACGCGAAGGCCTTGACAGATGGCCTATCGGCGATCCTCCTTGCGAAGATCCGATCCAAGACGCGGAGGAGACAACAACTGAGGAAGAGACGTATGACTTTGACTCCGACTGCTCAGAGTACTATGTTAGGGAGTAACGTTTTTTGTAATTTGCAGGATATATCTCTGGTGAAGTAGGAGCAGTTGCGCAACCCAGGCTTTTCTGAAAGGTGGCTGTTTGTGAACAATCAATCTGTGATGTACATACGTCAACGCGTTATTGAGGCCCCAGAGCTTCGAGCGCCGATGTACTTGACGCCACGAGGATGATGCATGTCAACATTCAATGGTCGCCTCCCAGAATTGACTGGGCGACACGAAGCAGGTGGCCACCACTCGATTTTCGTCGATCCCTCAGAAGTGGACAATGAGATTTTGACTGATGGCACGTGCATTCTCACGTGTGTCATTGCTAAGCTATGCTTTGAAAATTTGGCGTGTTGGTCTAGTTACCTTCAGACTCCTTTAGACTCTTTCACTCATCACTTGCAACCGAATGAATACCTAGTAAGCCATGACTGCATTTCCCACAGACGATTCGTCATACAACATGTCCACCAAGGGAAAGATACCGGCCCTGAATGATGTCACGGCATTTTGTACCAAATGCACGAATGGCGCTTTGGACTTTTCGAATACGCTGTTTGCCAAAGACCGACCCCATTGTTATGGCAATGCTCTTCAGATGGCATGCGCCGAAGGTTTCTACTGCATCGTTCAGAAACTCGTCCTGGACGGCGCAGATGTCAACGATCAGGGTGGATGGTACGGCAACGCCTTACAGGCTGCGTGTGCCGAGGGTCGTGAAAGCATCGCCCAAATGTTGCTGGACAACGGTGCCAGAGTCAACGCGGTCGGCGGACACTACAACACCGCACTCCAAGCTGTGCCGCACCTCGTCCGGCCGAAACATTCCGGTTCTGGCGATTGAGTACAAGGCACCGCATAAGTTGCGACGCGACGGGGTTGTCACCGGTCTGGAGTCTGAGAATAGACCGGAACGCGACGGAATAAATAAGGACGGTGACGGGTTTGCGTTTGCGTATGCATCGAGATCGCTCGTTGCCGCTGTCATCACCCAGCTCTTCTCCTACATGGTTGGCAGAGGTATCCAGTATGAATATGTGTGCACAGGAGAGGCATTCGTCTTCCTACACGTTCTGGATGATCCCACCGTCGTATGCTATTCTATGCGCGTGCCTACTCGGACGTTCTTGAGGACGACGACGAGAACAAGTTCCATGGCATAGCTGTTGCGCAGGTCTTTGCCTTTATCCTTCAGGCTCTGCGTGCTGAACCACCTCCGCTGTCATGGCACGATATTGCTGTGAGTCTCGACACCTGGGCTGTAGAGTACGACGACGTGCTGAGGAACACGCCCGAAGCAGTGCGCAAGGGCAAGGAAGCGCGCTCTTCTCCGTACAAGCCCCAACGCTGGCGAGGATTCAAGCGCTCGCCAATTCAGACATGGGCTCGGTGCAGGCGACTCGACAGCGACGCAAAGCAGAGGGATAACGGTGACGATGAAGAAGGGACTCTTCCTTCACCCACACCGACACGGTCGATTCCCGGGGGGCGAAAAGGCTCTCACGAAGTCGAGCGCAGACTCGGCCGGTAAAGAGGCACAGCCAACCCGCCATTATAGCCAAGGGAAGCAGATAAACATATTGGATCGTCGATTTTGTACGCCACAATGTCTGCTCGGATTAGTGAACGGCTGGCCCCTGGATGAACGCTGCCCGAATTTCCAGGATCACGGACCCCAGCACTTAAACCTACTTGATATCCTCCGACTCATCCGTACTCAGCTAGCCGAAGACCGTGGTTGCGATGCTGACGTCGTACCACTGCACCTGTCTGGCTCAACCGGCTCACTCTTTAAGGTCAGGATGTCCTCTCATGGCTACATTCTTGTTGCTAAAGGCGTTGAGACACTCGACGTGGCCCGCCTTCGCCACAACAATGAGGTATACGATCGACTTCGCTCGATTCAGGGAAGACTTGTTCCCGTCTGCCTGGGACGGACAGATTAAACCCTGCCGTTGTACTACGACAGTGGCGTGTGCATGCATGGCTTGCTTCTCAGTTGGGCAGGAACGCCTTTATTTGACTCCAACACTCCAGCAACCGAAGCAGACGTTGGCGCACTTACCCAGGTGTACAAGAACTTACATAGGACAGGTGTTCTTCATGGCGACGCAAAGCTACGCAACGTTTCACGCAATCGCAATACAGCGGATGGAGGTATCGTGGTGGTGGACTTCGAACGGGCTGACTTCAGCCACCGCCCACCTCTCGCCTTGCTCCATTCAAGCCGTCAAAACAAGAAGAGAAAGCGGGGGATGTTGGGGAATTTGACTTTATCAAAGAATCAACGAAGTGAGAGATTTGCGGAAGAACTTGACTCTGTGGTGTGTCAAATATCGGGACATGCGAACGCCATAGAGCAGAAGACAGCTCTTAATGTGGCCAGCCAGATGTGAGATGTGTTGCTGGAGGGTTCAAAAGGACCATTTGAACCTTTGGCAGCTTGCCCGTCTGTGAATGCCGGGAATAGTGATGAAAAGACAGATTTCGACTCGTGAGAGGACAAGAATGGAAGGGTAGTGGTATAGTGGGGAGTAATGGTAATTGGTTAGGGTTCGTCTACGCTGCGCATTCCCACCAGACGGTTATTGTTCACCTACTAGGTTTCATCTTCATCAAGGTCCCTACAGAGTTCATGTATGTAGGTGAACACACGGAGTAGAGGCAGAACAGGTGCCAATAGCGTGGCCAGACATCACGGCGGCTATCGTCCGGCTCCCAGATCGAAGGCTGATAGTGGCGTCGTTGTACGCGCCGGTGCAGAACCCGGAGATGCTTCGGCGGGCGTGTAATCTACTAAGGCAGGCCATCACGAATGTCCGAGGAGGAACAGGTGAAAGGTTGAACGCAGTCCTAATAAGAGACTTCAACTGCCACGACTACCTGTGGGGAGGCGATGTGGTGCCGGAGAGCCGGCAAGGCAAGGCGGACCCGATCTGATGAGCGAGTACTCACTTCGCAGCCTCCTTCCGCGTGGCACGCAGACTTGGAGAAGAACGATGCGTCAACGACGATCGACCTGTCCCTCGCATCCGAAGAGCTGTCATGAAGGGTAGTACGATGTGCACTGCACGAGACGGACCTCGGATCGGGCCACCAGGCGATCGAGACGATTTTCGACAATGCAGCATCCGAGACAAAAGCCGACCTCGACTGCTCTCAAGGATCGACGAGAGGATAGAAGCGAGTCTTCAGCAGGCGCCGTCCAGAGGAACGGTGCACAGGTAGACGAATCGACTGATGTCGGAGTGTGCGAGCCAGTGGAGGCACTGACGCCGGCATTTAAGCCCACGGTATGCTAAGAGGTTATGGACGGCCGACCTCACCCAGCTCCGGCAGATCCACTCACTGGAGAAACCGGGCAAGGGCGGAGAGGAGAGCAGGCAACAGACAACCAGAGATTGAAAAACGAGCACGCCCATCGCCTTTGGATCGTCCTATTCCAGCCAAACTCTGATTCTTGTTTGGATCACAAAGTATGGCCTTCGTGAAAATGGGGTCCCAGGAGGAGCATACGAAATAGGGCGACGCCGCGACAAAGACTTCGGAATTGGCCAAGTATCGACGAGCAGGGTCCATTTCATCCCCGCGAGGTCCTAAGATCACGTCGGCATGCGGTTGTAACTCTGTGGGCATGCTGTCATTAACGAAGTCGAGATCCATTGCGCTCTTCGGTATTGTATTATATGCAGGATGATGTTGTAAAGTACTGCCTGGGGTTATATTATTGCCTACGTAGTTGCGAGGAGATTGTTGCCAAGATGGAAGCGCAACCAGGCGAAATTGAAGATGTTCGCAGATTTCTGGAGGCCTAAGGCGAGACATCCGGCGATGGTCTTCGTGTGTTTCGTCTGGAATCTTGCGACACCTTGTGTCCTCGATCATAATAGCTGTGCCACTCGAAAGGCTTATCGAGACGAGTCGATAGGCTTTCGGCGTGCGTCATATGTTCTCGGCAGTTGACTACACCATGTTACACCAACTTAACTCTATGTAGCCGCACGATCCTATCCCCCATCTTTGCCGCCATGACGATATGCACATGTCATCTCGCAAACACTATAGCCGGCGCGGCCCGACAAAATGTGCTTGGAGACTAAGGAAAACCCTCCAAAGCTTGCCTAGCCTAGAATATCGTCCTCGGCACAACATAGTTGTATTGGACGTAACCATAATAAAGCTCCTTCCCGGTCCGCTGCTTCGACGTGTCAGCGTTATCGCCACGGCAAACTCGTCCATCATACGCTGTTGAAATGGCGGAGGTAGATTTCGAGAAGTATGCAACCCTCATGATGCTAGTGGCTTCCCTTGACTGATTGTTGACTAGAATCTTGGTATCCGATTTTTTCAAGTTCGTCGTAGGCGTTGAGAATCAGGTTTTCTACCTTCACAGCGCACTGGTCGCTCTTCAATCTGAAGCGCTCGATGTGTTGGTGAACGGCGGCATGAGAGAGGCCCAAGAACGTTGTGTTCAATGGGCGAGCATTGACGTCCCAACGTTTATTCGCTTTGGCCAGTTCATTTACAGAGAGGATTACGAAGCCCCGCCACACAAAAGCCGCAATAATTCATACCTGAGCGCTGATTTCATTCAGACTTCAAGGGTGACCAAGGGCAAGAAGGGCATTCGGTCGATAGTCCCATACGCTCCGCCTCCGACGAACGGACTGCTCTGGGACGAATTTAGATCGTTGTATCCAGATGCCAGTCTCACCATCGTGCGCCAGAACGAAGCGAACGACGACTACACCGATGTCTTTCTCGGCCATGCCCAGGTCTATGTCTTCGCAGAGTGCTACGGAGTTGAAGGTCTGCAGACTCTGTCGCTTGGCAAGCTTCGGCGAGTCCTTGAGTCATTCGCTTTGTTTAAGACAGGTATCAAGGATGTTGTACGGCTGATTCGATATTGCTATGACAATACGGCGGGCGGAACAAACGAGGATCGGCTCAGAAGGCTCGTCACTATGTACACAGCCTGTAATGTGGAAACACTATGGGAGGATGAAGAGTTCGCCGACTTGATCGAAACGAACGGTGAGTTCGCAAAAGGTCTAGTCAGGTCAATGCTGGGACGCCTCAACTAAAAACAGACTGCGAACCAGTCGGCCGGAGAACGTATTGTGGTATCAACGCTGTCGCTGTTGTCTAGCAACAATTCCGATGGCAAAGATGCACATGTACTCGAATAGAATCTGATTGAATAGGAAATGAGGTATCATAATTTGACGCGGCACTCGGAAAATTCGCAACCGAGGCCGCACATGAGTTAACGAAGCATCGTGACGACCCATCCCCGCGACAGAGCGATCTGCACCGAGTGAGAGAAACTTATGCTCTATGTATCGAGGGCTTAAGCTGGTCACTGCGGCAGTCCTTTGCGGCAAATTCGTCTTTCCGTGCTTATTTGAACGCCAGCCTGAGGGACTCCAAATTCTTGATACCTTTGGGTGACGAAGTCATCGGCCATCACACCAATCGCGAAAGAGAACCTCATGCCTCTAGAGCGAGAGCCTCATTACCGTCCAACAATCGATTTTGCGATTTCCGAAAATCAGTTCGGAGCCCGGGCACACAGGCCCGGAAAACTATGTAGACAATCGTCCTGAACATTCTGAAAACAGGGTGCCAAAAAGATTTCGTCAAAACGGAGTAGATCATTTCTCTCCAAGATTTCCTTGATATTAATTACTTATGCTTGAGCTTGGGCAAGTATCGGTCCCTCTGAGGACCAGCGCCATCTACACAGGAATGCATAGTGTGATTGTCAACATGAAGTTTTTTGGCAACGGTGGTTTCGTTTTCTAAGGAAAGTGCCTTCGCCGCCTCAGCTCCGACATTGCCCTTCTCATCCAGTACCTCAGTTCGCTTCAGATTGTCTACCTTCATGGGATAGAGCTCGTCTCGTAGCACGTGTGCTCCAGGACCGAAGCTTTCTCCCGCCATCTGCTTGACAAGCCTATGCTCAGCATCGTCGCGACAATTGATGCGGGTTCTATCCGCGTTCCTTGGGTTTACTGTGATGACCCGACAGCGCCAGCTACCTTGTCCCTCCATCGTGCGCATCACCTTTTCCAGCGTAGCCCGGATCCGACCTGCGTTGGGCTTGTCGCTGCCTTTCTCAACTCTTGATGTGTCGATCGTACAGATCAAAGGGTCGCTGCGGCTCGGCAGCGTCGCGTTGCCTGGCGTAGCTACCTGCGAGTCGCGACCTTGCTCACCTAAGCCGCTTCGCGCGACGTCCGAGTATGACACACTCGGGCTGTTCCGCGTCGCAGCCACCAACGAGATTGCTTCAAGGTTCTCGTTCGTCTTGGCGCTTTCGTCCCCCACGCGTTCTCTCATCGCTTGTAGCTCTCCTTTGACAGACTGTAGCTCGCTCTCAACTGTTTGCCGCTCCGAAGTAACCACGCGAAGCTCTGCCTCAACGTTCTTGTTCCACGTTTCCGACTTCTTCCACGTCTCGAACATGATCTCGATCGCTGCGTGTATCTCTTTGATCTGCTTGCTCATTGTTAGGAGCAGCCCTGTGTCGTCATCCTCAACAGGCTTCGCGCGTTCCTGAGCCAGGGTTGCGGCTCGAGTGGTCGTCGTCCGCCGGCCACCACCAGCGATCTCGGTTGCTCCGTCGATCGCATTGTCGATTATCTCTTGGTGAGTCTGGACTCAGTCGGGCTTTCGTGGATAGGTTTCGTACTCTTCGTGATGGCAGGCTCTCGTTGCTCGCCGCCACCACCTCCCTCGCAACGGTGATGGACGTCGAATCTGGCTCGAGGTCCATCACGTCGGGACGTGCGTTGGGTCGCCACGCGGTGGGTCATGCTCGTGCCACGTAGCGCGTTTCGAAACGTCTCAAAGGCCCTCAGTCTGACAACGTCTAAGAATCCTCCAAGCAAATAAAGTACAGTATGTACACTTCTTTCTTTCAGCACGGACGCTTGACATCTTGCCACCAACACAGTCTGGCTTAGTACGGGAGTACTTAACCCAGAAAAACCTCAGGTTGGCAGGGCTGCTCCATCCATGGTTTGGAGCAAACATTGGCTTCGGTGTCATCACCAGCAGGGGTTCTAAGTGGGTTGGAAAGCCGATTCTGGATTACCCAACCTCTGTTACTGGAGATGGAGAGCTTGCCCAAGTGTATGGGTTGGTCGTCGAATGATGGATATTGTGTTTGGCATGTATCCGCCAGGGTTTAGTATACACTGTGTAAGCATCAAAAACGGCTTACGTGTCCGTGCGGAACGAGATCAGAGTTGAAGAAAGGTGAAGACCTCTTCGCGGACCCCTGTAATCCAAAAAAAAAAAATGCTGTCTGGTAAATTAGACTCACCCCTTGATGACACCAAAGCCATTTTAAGCTTCTGTCATGCACTGACTCCTGCGGGATGGACCCTGCAAGAAGAAGTGGATATTGCTGATTTCCAGAATCGAGTCGTCCAGAAAGCCACAACTAGCGCAAGCTTCTGGAAGTTAGGTAAGCAATCCGCCAAGCCATATGGTATTGAGAAATCTGTCACTTCGCGGAGTGAATCAACTCTCTGGGATTTGTTCTCACAGTAGGATTTCTAAAAGGTTGCTAGGCAACTAGATGACATAACTTCAAGTGAAAGATGATTGCATCTCCGTGCAAGACCGAACTGGAAATAAATCAAAAGCACCATATGGAAATATGCAGGCTACAAGCACTTGACGCAGCAGAAGCAACCATGGAGCAGCGGATACATAATGCTGTGCGTAACCCGGTTTCCAAACACTTGGATCGGGTAGGGCAAAAGCTGTCAGCCGGACCTCCAAAGTGGGTCGGTACAGCAGTGAGAAACCAAACTGTGCTGGTGCCAAGGATACAGACTTGCAGACGGGAAGAGACCAGAGAGTTATGAAAGGAATGAAGCCCTTTTCGCTGACTGCTACTGTATACTCGGTTTGTCAGTGAGGCGTACCAAGCCGTGTCCCTTCGCGTTACATAGAGAACTCGCTACGTAGGATCTTTCCTGCTGGGCGGACAGGCGTACCGATCCGAATAGCAACAGCAACAACCACTTGTGTGGTGGAACTTGAGATCAGTTCCAAGCGGAGTTTTTTGAACGTGATGTTAGTAGTGCAAAAAGAGGCATGCAGCGCACTGGCGCTTGAGCGGCTAAAAGTTCGTGAGCCTCCCGCATATGCTTTGCTTTCCCAACCCAGGCGCGTTTCGTCATATGTTCATAGCCTGATTCGTGGCCGAACCAATCTTGTTCGCCGACACGCCGGCCTCTGTTACACTGGTGGAAAGCCTGCCTATGGCATTCCGGTCTCTTGAGCAGCTCGCGTTGTAGGGCGTTCTCCACTGGGCCGAGGCGAAAGCGGAACACCAGTCGTTTGCTGTCAATTTGGTCTCCTGTGCCCCGCTAGGAAACGTGGCAGTGGGACGGGTACAGCCCTGCACACCGGGGAACAGGTGCGACTGCGCCCAGGGGCAACGGTTGGTCATAGAAAGCTCCAGGCCATATTCCTCTGGACCACTAGTTGCTGCGCTGCTCCCGCCCAGACTTGGGTGGCGACGCCCCCAGCACCACCGCCACTCCAGGCGGCAGCGGTCGTGCAGGAGTGAAAGACACCCGCCTGTATCAGGGGACACGCATGGGTGGTGCAGGACGATAAACCGCTTAGTACCCAAAAGTACCGGGTATCTCGACCGAAGCAAATGCCTCCACGCCCGCCTAACTAAGTGTTGGCACAAGCTCCGATGGCGCATGACCCCACAGCAAGTGTTGCAAAGATCCCAATCCAAAGAATGGTATGTTGCAAGCCGTCGAATTCACATGGTCAGTCGGGACCGGCGCACATCGTCCACAGCAGACCGTACAACATTCTGGGTGGCCTTGAACCTTTTCGTCGCTCATTTGGCGCCTTCAGAAGTAAGCCTTGTGGTTCGCTTGCTGTCCCTAGGCGTTGGCATCCCGCTGCTAGCCCGCAGTACATGGTTTGTAGCGCCTCTAGGTACTGATGACTAAGAAGAAGGTGATCTAACCCCGGAACGAAATGGCAAGGGGGTTTTCTAGCAGTGCCCCCTATCGCCGACCGTAGGCTCCCAGAATTCTGTTGTGGTGGCTTGAGCGGTTGGCTAGGATTGCGGGGGATGGGGAATGGTCGGTGGCATCGCATAAAACTTGACGGTCGCGCCTTCCGGCGACGTCACAGGCTTACTGTTCAATATTCACATCATTGCCTTCTCACTCCCGATTACAGCCCCTCTTCGGGAGATGATACATCAGACGTAGTAGTCAACTCATACTCTACGATGCTAGACCCGGATTTGCAACAAGCCTCTCCTTTGTCAATCAAGGGATGCGGCGACAACCTATACAAGACGACTGCTGCGGGACTGCTACACGAGATTGGCGTCGACGAAGCGTTGTCCCGCACGGCGAACCATTGTCAGTCCATGACCGATCGCGGCGAAGGGGAGCAGGCAAGACACATTTGGGAAGGCATGCTCATGGCGATGAAGGACTACGTCGGGGAAGGGCATCCGTCTACGCTTGAATGCAAGACCTTTCTCTATCGGATACTGGCAAAGACCTCAGACCTCAGAGCCGCCGAACGTTTGTGCGACGAGGTATTGCAGGCCAGACGACAATGTCTGAAAAACGATGCCGACATGCTACCTTGCATGCTCGAGCTCGCGGCCATCTTTGACTTGCAGGACGACTACGCACAGTCTGAACGTTTGCTATCTGAGCTCTATGGGAAAGACCTAGTCGAGGACGATCCCCTAAGGCTTACGTGTATGACTCGTCTTGCTATTATCTACAAGCAGCAATGTCGATACCAGGAGGCCGAGACGATGATGAAACAGGTAGTAGAAGTTCGAGCGAGGACATTGGAGGACGGCGACGCCGACTTGCTCCAATCCAAGAACAACCTGGCAAGCCTTTTCGTTGATCAACACCGATTCGACGAGGCGAAGGCCATCTACAGGGAGGTCATGACAGCGAGGATTCGCGCCTTGGGGTCGAACCACCGTGATGCGCTTGTCTCTACAGCCGACTTGGCGACGGTGTACCTCCGGCAAGGTCTCTGGAATCGGGCGGAGCAGCTTCTGTCATCTGTTGCAGCCATATCCAGGCGAGAGCTCGGTAGTGATGATGAAGAGACGCTGTCGATCGAGAGGCGCTGGGCGCAGGCTTTAGGGAGGCTTGGCCGACACGGGGAAGCAGAGAGAGTTGTACTCCGATTGCTGAATTCGAGGACGCAGAATGTAGGTCAAGAGCATTCGAAGACACTAATCTGCATGTGGACTCTGGCAAACACGTATTGCGGGCAAGGACGGCACACAGAAGCGGAAACACTCCTTAAACGAGTCGTGGAACTCCAAACAGAACACTTGGGCGGAGAACACTCCGATACTCTGATCAGCAGGTTTTCCCTAGCCCATGTATGCCATCTTCAAGGCCGGTTTCGAGACGCGATCACACTTGGAAAATCGGTTCTCGCAGATATGGAGCGGGCATTGGGAGACGATCATCATTACACTGTCACTTGCCGTGCCAACTTAGCCTTGGCATATGATGGTGCCCTACAGCATGGAAAAGCAGAGGAATTACTGGTGAAAGTGTTGGATGCGAGAAGAAACACGCTTGGGAAAGACCATCCCGAAACTCTGCGGTCGATGGTTAATCTTGCTTCTTCCTTTGGTCAGGCTGAGAAATATGAAGAGGCGAGGCAGCTCGCAAGCGAATTTTTCTGTCGAGCACCGAAGGTTCTGGGCGAGAAACATAGCATCGTCATTCATGGCGTGGCGGAACTTGCGGCAATTCTTGTGGAAGCTAAAGAGTTCGAGCAGGCGGAGGAGTGGCTCAAGCTGGCCTTGGACGTAAGACAGGAGACCTTGGGGCCGAACCACCCTGATACCATCATGTCCACGTACAACCTCGCCATGGCCTTCGTTGGGCAAGGCAGGGCGGAAGAAGCCGCGCCCCTGATGGACAGAGCAACCAACGGAGCTTTGCGCCGGCTCGGAGATCGACACCCAACCACACTGGTCTGTTGCTTCAATCTAGGCGTAACCCGTCGTTTACTGGGTAGGGACAACGAAGCAAAGGCTATCTGGACTCGGATCTTGCCCGACATGGAACAGATTCTGGGACCTCGACATGTTTGTGTTGTCCAGTGCAGATCCATACTATTTGGTAAATGACGAGGCATTCGGAACTAAACAACGACTATTCTCTTATGGTGCCTTTGTAGTCTTTTTATTGCAGACCGTTTTATAATTGCTCGTGTTGCCATCTGACGACCAGCGCCAGCAGTGTCGTGCCATCTTTGGCTAGCCTGTCTGTAATGTCCCAGAGACTCGTACATTCGTGGATTAGATATCCTGGCCGCCCCTTCGATTCCGAAAGAACGATTCTCATGCAGAGCTGGGCGCCTTGCCGTGGATAGCACGGATAACGCTGGTGTCGTCGATGAATATGTAGATTGGCAGGGCTTGATAGGTGAGCAAAGCACGTCTAAGACCGACTGACGCCCCTTCAACCTGAATTTTGAAGACTTTTGCTTATCCGAACCCACTAAGTCATTGCAATACGCGTTCGGAATTTTTGATAGATAACGAAGCCGTGCCTTACGGCTCGCTGTTGACGATGTCCTCGCAGTCGCTGTAGCCGCGGACAAGTATGACTGTGGCAATGCTCTCAGATTTGCGAGCGAAAGCTGGCTTCGAACCTCTGGAAAATCAGCTGGTAACCTCATGCTTCTCACTGCCGCAGCATACCTTTTCCAGAACGCACAAGATTTCAAGGAGATTACAAGAGCATTGATACTTGACTATGATGGTCCTTATCTTGCTCTTTGCTGGGAAGAAGCTGAATTTCTGATGACGTGGAGGGTGTTCTGTAAGTATCATGGCAACTGATTGGACATGCGACTGACAAGAAAACGGGCAGGTCTGCTGGAACAGCAGAGAGGATTCGCAAGACTCGAACTAGCAGATATCCTGATGGCAGGGGTGAACGATAGGACTGGGACGTGCGTTCACAAGTGCGGATGGACGAGCAAATATGCGTATGCATACCTGAAGCTGTTGGAAGAAGAGAGACTTTGGCCTACACGTCTATTTCACACCTCCATCACCAAGGCACTGGAGTCAGCAGGAAGGATGCCTGACCCAATTCCTCAGGAATCAAGCACTTCGTGTATTCACGAGCGCAAGCACGCTGCTCCAGCCTACAGGAGAGACCGCAGAGGGAGAGTTGACACACTCCTCGACAGTATCGGACTTTGTCTACGCTGCGTTCGGTCAGGCAGCATGAGTTCTAGCTGTTGCCAGTCCTCCCATGGCTATTGAGAACCGGTGTTGGAGATACGTAGTGTTTGGGTCAGAGCATGGGTCACTTTGAATCAGTATCCTTACTTAGCTCTGAGAACATTCCCCATATCGCTTGACAGCTTAGCTTGCTGCTCAGACGGATGATGATTTTGGTCTACAAATGTGTCTCATACTTCGTGTCTAGTCGTGGCCTTGGTCTGGGGTGTGAATCCCAGATATACTCCATGATAATCTTTCAAATAGCATAAGGCCTAGCGGTGCCTGGGAGGATACGTCATGATGGCTGAGAGCCTGCCGCAAGTCGCTGGTAACCTTCCTTATCTAGCCTTGAGTAAGTCCGGCGACGCCTCATTCGTTGGGGAGTGACTAGTCTCGCCCTCTCCTTATACCATTTTGACGTCGAGATGATCTACCCTCCTGCGTACACCAGTCTCTGGCCCCTCGAATAGTCCTTTTGACCCCAAATCGAGGAAGAAGCTTACCGGTAACGCTCGATCAAGGCAGGCTGTAGTCTTGCGTAATTGGTTCCGTCTAGCCCTTGCGTCCAAGCGCGTTGAAACGGACGGCGTCCGGTCTGCCAGGCCGAAAGTCACATTTCTGTCAGCCTCTGGGCTACGATCGTCGTATAGATTGAACGGCCGGTCTACATGGCGGACGTGTTTACCAGTGGTTCCCACAGAGAGCTGACAAAGGAGTCACGTCGAGACGCCACCGTTCTCCTCCTTGCGCGTTCTGTATAAACCTCGACAGCCGTGACAAAGGCCAGGGCTTGTCCATTGATCCTGGCCCTCGTCTGAACAGGTAGCTGGAGCACGAGTTTTGAACTGTAGTGGAGGTTTCGCGGGATAGCATGTCGACAGATGGCAACGGGACATAGGTTCACTAGGTAAGGGTAGTTACGGATCTCTACGCGGCAACGAAACATACTTTCACCCTAGAGAAACTACACACAGTTTGAGGTAAACCGGCTAAGGTCTTTGTTGTACCAAGTTTAATATATTTGTAGGTCACCTCAGTAGGTAGCTCCATCGTTGAGGCTAGATCGGTTTTGCGAAGAAGCACAAATCCAGAACTAAGCTTTGTCGGTACTGCTCAGTCTAATTGTGGTCGTCGCATGAAACTTGTAACAGCTCAGTCAGATCTCAGTCCCATTCCAGATGTCCTCCTCGTCGTCATCAAATCTAGCCCGAATGGTGGCGAATCAATCGCTGTCTCGCGGAGAGAGCCAGAGCCTCGCACGTAGTAAGGCGGGGTCGGGCGGGGTAAAGTGGGGAAAGTATTTCTATACGAAGCAGCGGTGCTCCTGTCTACTCTTGACAAACGAGCACAGTCTACACATAACAACCAAGTCTCTCAATATGGCGGACGCAAGACACGGAGGCCGCGGCCAGTCTCGCGGGGGTCGTGGCAGAAGCGATGGCGAGCGCGGCGGGCGCGGCGGGCGCGGCAGCTTTTCCGGAGGCCGAGGCGGTGATCGTGAACGTCGTGGCGGTAGCTTTGCTGGAGGAGGCAGCGGCGATCGTGGCCATAGAGGTGGAAGGGGCGGCCGAGGCGGCTCCGTCCCTCGTCGTGACGCTTTCGAAAGCGAGCCATGCACCTTCTACGGGTATGTTCAATGCTTCCTGTTCCTGTACTACGTGATGTTCTCGTAATTTAATACCTTGCAGGCAAGGCTCAGTGATACCTCAGCCCGACATTAAGATTACCGCCCTCGAAGACTCCCTCATCAAGAGCTACCAGTCCAAGGACCAAGTCCTCGTCAAAAAGATGGGCGTCCTCAAACTCACAGACTCTACTGTTTCTCTCATGCCTCGTCGTCCCGCATACGGCACCAAGGGAAAGCAGGTCATCGTCTGGGCCAACTACTTCCGCGTGTCCATCGAGCCCGCTGTGCTCTACCGGTACACTCTGGAGGTCCGCAGGGGCGAGAATGCCAACGCTCCTCCCGACGACCCCAAGGGCAAAGGAAAAGGTAAGGCGCAGGCTGGAGGCGGTGATGGCAGCGGCAGTCATGGACCCCTAGGCACCATCCCAGCGCGCAAGCTGAAGATCATCCTTGCAACATGCTATTGAAGAGCTTCAGCGCCTCGAGGCTGAGGCGGTCTTGGCAACCGAGTTCAAGTCCAAGCTCGTCTCCTCCAGTAAGTTGAAGCTTGCCAAGAACCCCGTGATCATCAAGTTCAGGAACGAAAACTCCACACGGGAGGAGCTTTACAACATCAAGGTCGTCGGAGAGACCGAGGCCCCGTTGGCTGCCATGGATCGGTACCTCCGGACCATGGTTGACCCAAGCGACCCTGACGAAGCGCACTTCCCTCGCTGCGAGGTCTCTGTCGATGCCCTGAATGTCGTCCTCGGCCACAGCCCAAGGATGAACAATCAGATCACCGCCGTCGGCAAGGGTCGGTTCTTTCCGTGGGGTCCCGGCTCCGCTACGTCACGACTCGGCCAACAAGGTCCCCTCACAGCCATCAGAGGATTCTTTCAGAGCGTACGCCTTGGCACCGGTAGGACCTTATTAAACGTCAATGTCACTCATGGCGTCTTCAAGACCGATGTGCGGGTCAGCGAACTTTGCAAGTGGTTCGGCCTAGACGTATTCGGTACCGGGAACATCAACACGCACAACAACGCTCGAGCAACGTTGCGTACTTTGTCCAATTTCCTCGCTAAAACCCGCGTGACTGTTCAGTTCCGCACTGCAGACGGCAAGGACGTCACTGCCAAGAGAGCGATCCACAGCCTTGCGTGCAAAAACGGACTCGCAAGTCCTCCTGTCGGCAGCCTCGTCTTTTTCTCCCAGGGCTTCGTCTATGGCGGCCCACGGGAGGTCAAGTTTCAGCTGGATCCAGCAGAGGGCCAGAAAACGGTCTTGGGCAAAAAGCCGCCGGGTGCGTATTCTGTCGAACAGTATTGGCAGTGGAAGTACGGACAGGCTCCGGATAAGAGCCTGCCTCTGGTCAATCTCGGCACGGCTGACAAGCCCATGTTCTTCCCGGCGGAGCGGTGCCTCATTGCTGCGGGCCAGGCGGTTCGGTCCAAGCTCACTGGGGACGAGACTGCGGTGATGCTTGACTTTGCCTGCCGCTCTCCCTTTGCCAACGCCATCTCGCTCGAGCGCGACAGCGCGGCGGCGCTAGGTCTTGATGAGTCGATACTTGGGGAGTTTGGCATCACGGTTGACAAGAGGCTATTGACCGTAGCTGCCCGCGAACTGCCCGCCCCAATGGTCACCTATGCCAGCGCTAAGAACCTGCAAAGTCGCGGCGGCTCTTGGAATATGACTGGCGTAAAGTTTGCGAAGACAGGCCCCAGAATCACCAACTGGAACTGGGTGCGCATCGCCGAAGGTGACAACCCAAGCATACCTATCGACGAGGTTGCACGGTCCGTTCAGCAATTCGTGGAATTCCTCAACGCCAGTGGGGTCGCCGTTGAGACTCGAGCCCCGAATACCGCCCATCAGATTACCGTCGGCCGCAGCACCGCCGCCGAGGATATCAAGAGAGCTTTCGCGGCTATAGAGAGCTACACGACGAAGGCGAAGGGTAGCATTAAGGGCTTCTTCCTGCTTGTGATCCTGCCTAGGCATGACGCCACACTCTACGGCGCTGTCAAATCTCTCGCCGACGTCCAGTTTGGTTTTCACACCGTGTGCTCCGTGGAAAAGACGTTCATCAAGAATAACCTCCAGACTTTCGCCAACATTGGTCTCAAGTGGAACCTCAAGAATGGAGGCACCAACCATATAGTCAAGGATACAATCGATATTCTCACCTCAAATCAGACCATGATTGTTGGCTACGATGTCACTCATCCGACGAACATGTCCAACGACAAAAGTTCAGCGCCCAGTCTGGTCGGCATGGTTGCCAGTGTTGACAAAGACTTGGGACAATGGCCGGCCGTTGCGTGGGAGCAGCCTTCTCGTCAAGAGATGCTCGGAGAGGAGCTTACAGAGAAATTCAAGTCTCGCCTCTTGCTATGGCGTCAGCGCAACCTAAGCAGACTCCCTCAGTTCATCATCATCTATCGCGACGGCGTCTCGGAAGGCCAATTCGCCCAGGTCCTCACAACCGAGCTGCCCATGATCCGCAAGGCGTGTGACCAGCTCTACCCGCCCAAGCAGCGTCCGAAACTCTCCATCATCGTATCCGTCAAACGTCATCAAACGCGTTTCTACCCCACGTCTGACCAGAACATGGACCAGAAGTCGCGCAATATCAAGAACGGCACAGTCGTCGACCGCGGTGTCACCCAGGCTCGTTACTGGGATTTCTTCTTGACTGCCCACACGGCTCTCAAGGGGACCGCCCGCCCTGCCCACTATACTGTGCTAATGGATGAAATCTTCAGGGAGAAGTACGGTGTGGGTAACTCAGCTGCGGACCAGTTAGAGAAGCTCACGCATAACCTCTGCTACCTTTCCGGCCGTGCCACCAAGGCGGTCAGTATTTGCCCACCGGCCTACTACGCAGACATCGTGTGTGAACGGGCTCGCGTTCATCGTCCGGCTCTTTTTGACGTTTCGGACGTGGCATCGACGACCACAAGCGCGTCCCAGCCCGTTGAACCTTCGAACAACGTTCAGGTGCATTCGAACTTGCGAGACACGATGTATTATATCTGATAGGTTTGCGGCGAGTGAAGCCTGGCGTGGAGGACGTTGGGCAAGGCTTTGTTGGTAACGTCTCGGTCTTTGCTTGACAGCAGTGGGCCCTGACGGGTCAAGGACATGAATTATTATTTTTGAAATGCAAATTACCACTGTTCAGAGGTGCAAATTGTCCGCTATGATAGCCACATGATCATCTAAGCACTGCATGTAAGCCACCTCGTAGGTAGCGTATTGTCATCTGGCACATTGCTATCGGTGAAAGCCCGCTGTATCACAACCATCATTCGTCGTCTGCGGTATCATCGCGGAATTCAACCCCAGAGTACTGCATGCCCTCCTTCATTCTGGAGACGGCCTGACTGATGAATTTACTGTCAGGTTTTAGGGCCGCGTACATACTCGGTAACACGGTGACAGGAGTTTTGTCACGCGAGGCCATTGACTTGATGAATTGCAGCTGAATGCCAGCCATACGCCACAGCAGTTTTGGTTTGTGCCGATACCAGCGCTTGAACGAGGCACTGGCTCGAATCAAAGCCCACATTGAGAGCCCCTCGGGTGCATGTGATGGCTTCAGGTATGCCACCAACCAAGGGTCGAGTTCTCGGTCGGCCCTGGGTTCGATGGCGCACCACTCTTTGAAGACGTCCACCATGAGACTCGGACGCTCGTTTTCGTCTTTGACTGAGGCCATACTAGTGGTCCACTTTGTTTTGATTGCCTCTAAGTCCTCATTCAAATTTCTCAAGACATTCTTGAGCACCAAGAACGTTGATGCTAGCCTTTCAACTTCGTTGTATGGCTCTCCCAGATCAGCGTCCCAATACTCTGCGTTGGGGACCACCTCGGTGCTTGACGGCAGGGTTACCAACTCGCGGCTAGGACTAGGACTCAAGCTCGTGTCTCGGTTGAGCTTGCGCAGTTCTTCTTCGATATTGGGTTTTGCGACCGAAAACTTCAGGTGATCGATGATGTGGACAGGGTCGCCTCCGCCCATCCAGGTTTCGTGTTCGTAAGCTGGTTGGATCATTTTCTGGATTGCACATCCGTTCAGGACCTGTCTTTCAAATGATCGCCAGTCCCTTTCTGTGAACTCGAACCCTTGCTTCGACTGATCGACCAGGCTCCCAAGAAGTGCGCTCAATAAGAGAGCCTGCTTATTGTCTACATCGTTCAAGTTGTAGCAGAGTTGTTCCTTGAACTTAGTAGCGATTCCCAAAAAGCTCGGTTGCATGTTGAAGACAATACCACGAGTGATCATTGCCAAAGCTGCTAGAGGCTTGTCAATTCCTCGAGTGAGGTCTCCGTACGACGTTTCATCCTTCCTGAGGTACTTCGAAATGTCTGGTTTGGCCGGTATAGCGGCATTCTCAAAATTAGACACGATAGCTGGTTCCCAACATACCCAAGCCCTGTCTCCATCATAGTCGCCGCCTGAAAGCTTGTCGGCAAGCGCAATGTCTCCTTTTGCCGAGAATACGACGACGTCTTTCAATGCGCGCAACTCCGGCTTGAAAACGGCTTTGACCTTCTGTATATCGCTAGCGATGTGCGCCGGAGATCGTGCGACAAGAACATCGCATTCATGCAGCATGGAGTCCGAGAAGCTTTCGGTTCGAAACGTAGATGAGAAGCATATATGCACCTCGTTCTCTTCGAGGATGTCCCAGAAGTCGACCACCATGTACAAATACGCTGAGCTTGGGATCTTGATGTTCATCTTCTTTAGCAGATTTTTACATCTCGCGCGCCGAAGCTCCCGTAGCATGTCTTGCATGAATTTCTGTTTGGTTGGTTCGAAGCCGCCGTCGATCAAATAAGTTAGCTGTTCTTCTTTGGATTCGGGGAGCCCGGCCAGGAACGGCACGCTGTTTTGCGTCATACGTTCCTTCCTAGCGGCGAAATTTTCATTCACCCATTGCCGAAATTGTAGCGGATGCTTGAGGGCATCTTTCTGGACTTTGAATTCGTCGCTGAGCTGGTGGAGGAGATTGTCTCCCACAACTTTCCTCATGGCCTGCTTGTCTATGGCACGATCTTCCAGAATGGGGAGAAACTGAATGTTGAGGCTGGCGGATCGAGGCTCTGCAGCAACATTCTTAATCTCCAGGGTCCGATACTCCTGTTGGATGAAGTCGCAGTCCCACTTTCTTTGTGAGGGCCAGGTCTCTATCCAAATATCGCTTCCAGTGTCTTCGACGTCGACGATCCACACGCCTTTGGCAGAGCCCAGACGACCCTGTATCGTACAAGGAATGTCGCTCAACCCAAGAACGTCCCTGACCTTACGGGCAAGAGATAGCGACATGCGGCCAATGCCATCATTCATCACTTTCTTGGTTGGTGATTCGATATTTTTCTGTTGGTGTCGTATCTGATACTGATCCAGACAAGCTACTGCGGTCGTTTTGGTGAGACCCAGTTGTATGCGGGCAAACAGCTTACGGTAAGGTTGGTGACCGTTGCGATCCAACTGCAAGAGCCAGTCGAGCATCTCCCCAACCTCCAGTTTGGGTCGCGACTCTCTGAAGATGTGCACGGGCCGGTGGTCGGGAGAAGGACCGTCGTCGAAGTTGATTCCGTCTTCAGCAAAATAGCTCAGCCTTTTTTGCAGAATGCTTCTCGGACGTGGATCCAAAAACACGTTCGTCTGAAGAATCTTGCGCCCTGCGTCCCTTGCGTAAAAAGCTCGCCACTGTCTGCCGGCTAGGTGATGCACTTGAAAAGAAAGCCAGCCGATCACCTCTCGAGATACATCGGGCTCTCTGATCGGAGTCGTCCATGAGCTCGGTGACGGGACCACTATTTCAAGGAATCGATCAGATCCAAATTTGCGGTGCAGACGGCATCCTTGATCCAATATGGCCGGCTCCAATTTCAGGGAGAATATTGGGCCAGATCTAGCGTTCTTTGTTTGAACGAGAGAGGCCGCGAAAGAGACATGCTGCCCATTTGACGACTCAAAGCCGCTTAGACCTGTTGTCCAAGCGTCAAGTGTTGGCCTTTCGGGGAAACACTTCCCATTGAATGGATGTTGCTCTCGAAGGACGCGGTATAGAGTGTCGTAGTCTCTCCACGTTTCATCGTAAGACAGGATAATCTCATCAAGATCAACATCACAGTGGAGCGCAATACGGGTGATCTCCCATGCAATAGCGAAAGGAGCTTGTATAAGCCAATGTGGGAATTTTGCTGGGTGTAGTCAGCGCGAGAGCTGAGAAGAACATGCCTAGCTGCCGAAGTCACACCACGCTGTAGATAGGGGGCTAGGGGACTAGGGGACTCACGCCAGGTCGCATCGAGCCGGCACTGAAGATTGGCTGGCTCTGTAGGCATCGAGACACAACAGATTGGCTCATATAGGTTTGGGTCATCAATGCCTGAAATCTCCGTGTAGACAGTCGAGAGAACAGGAGAGCCCTCGCCAGGGGTTGGATGGGCGTGTAACCACGTCGATACGTTGACAATAGACCCTGGGAAGGAATTATTTGGAACATCTTGAGGAGCCGTTGGATTCCGCAAATTCACTTGCTCGGGGATTGTCTCCTGGGTCCCAGCGGGGAGCGCCTTTGCAGTAGAATCTGCTAGTGGGTGCTCTGAGCTTGTATTCCTGACGACGCTGCCTACTGATCTAGCACCGCCTTCATTCGGACTGTCTACCTCTGCGGGCGTTTCTCTTTTAGGCTGAAAAACTTCAACATGTGTGCCTGCTGTCGCCATGCTTTGCTCATGGACCGTGATGGTGTGGGCTGCCTTTTTCAGGACATCGAGGAGTACCATCTGGAGTTCCAACATCTCGCCTGGGGAGCCGGCCTTGGGCTTTTGTGTCGTTGCGAGACTCGGATCGCGGCAATCATAGGGGCGAATCCATTTCTCGCTGGCTGCGAGGGCCTCCCAACCGAATGAGTGCAAGACTTTGTCCAGTAAGAACGATTGCTCAGAGGAGAGATACGTCAGGAGACGCACAATCTCGTCGCTCCGGGCGAATGCTGCATTCTGTTTCGGTCGCCTGGGGGCAGAGGCAGAACCTTGACTGGCGTCGGGGATCTGGATAGCAAGATGATAATCGCGGTTCAGCTCATTGACGGTAGCGATGACCTGCTTGTTCAACAAGTTCTTTGATGCGGACAGCCATGAACTGATCAGCGGAGCCATAGCGGAGGGATGAAGTATTCGAAGCGGAGGATTGTACAGAAGGAAGTGAGGATGGAGCCGGATTTGTAGTGCCGATTTGCCAGAAGAGCCCTGCCACATCAAGATGTGGAGATGAAGCGCTGAGCGAGCGTCTCATGCCTCTTCCCCCCGCGACCAGCTGGCTGTCGACCCCGGCTAGGCTCGTCTCCACATCCCGTGATTGCGTGCATGTATCACAGGTGTAGGTACACAGTACAAACAGTCGCATTTTCCTCTAACGCGTACGACTCGTCCGCCGAGCACAATGAGCTGGCTCATACCGGCGCGAGCGCATTTCAGTAGACGCGAGGTGCCCGAATCACATCTATGCACATTTCGCCCCATGGCATTGTCAGCGTACCAGGTCGTCATGCAGCGCACTTGCTATTGCGAAGCCTTGGCACAGAGCGGGGCGAGGGCGCTTATCTGCACTCAGTAAGTTGGCTGTGGCATTGAACCTCGAGCTCAGCCAGACCTTACGCTGTTTAACCTGGGATTGGGTACCTGGGCTGATCGCTTCGCACCTCCGCAAGGTCTCCCCCATTCATTGTATAGCGCTTTTCCAGGCCGCCATGTAATATGGAGTAGTAAAGGCGGCGACGGGATCACCCGATTGACTAGCGGCGGGTCGTTTGCGGCCTCCTCGCGACGGCCCGCGTGACGGGTCGTTAGTATCCCTTATCCATGCGGAGAACACACCGACTGGTACTCCGTACTATTACGGGGCTTGGTATGTGCTGAGCAGCTGCCATGGGAGGTTTGTGGTTAGCGTGGCGCTCTTGCGTGTGAAAGAATGGATAAGTACTCATCGCTGAGGCCAAGTCACTACCGCCCGGCCCTTTCTACGGTGCACTCGGTCACACGCAGATTGGCACTGCCCACTCCTGCACCTACCCCGCCTGGTCCAGATATGCGATCTTCCAGCCAGCTAAGTCCGTTGAACACAAAACGTGTCGCCAGCCTCCTGCGCATTCAGAGTCGTATGATGAGAATAATGTTATCAAATGCTTCCTGGGGCAGCACAGTCTACATGATTTAATTATGTAATTGGCAATGGAACACGGAGGCGCTTATGATAGGCGGGTACATACTGACTGCTCACCCAGTATTCTATGGGTCATCGTACGGAAGAAGCACTTCCTTGTGAGGAAAAGGCATGAGCAGGATGTCTCTGTCAAGCTATAACAACCCTTTGCGTCCTCCTCCAGGGTCTTCAGCACTTACCATGGAAACCATCGTTCCTCTAGTATTGAGGTCAAGAAGCGAATGTGCTTGCGGAGGGTAAAGAGGCTTTCCAACCCGCACATGATATGTGGGACGTTTGTCTGCAGCTTACGAATCAATGGTGTGCCAGCCACTTGAATGGTCAGAGTCCGTGTTTCGAGACAATACTCGCTGGATGGCTTAACATTCCAGGGGGCAGTGGCCAAGACTTGTACGAGTCGTTTTGTCACTGTCTGGTGTCGATATTGGGGTTTTCCGGAATATCTCCTGCCACACGCGCGTAGAATACAAACAATCACAACACTACCTGTTCATACTAGTGCTCTTCTCTGGTGTCTTTAGCTATGATGCCAACATAACGACTACGTATGTCTATTTGCCATCCTTGATATCTCTAAGTGCCAACAGAGACTGTGAACGGAATATTGGAAGCGTCCCGTGTCACCGACAATAGTGGTCGATCAAGCCATTTAGGATAAGAGCTCAACACTCGGAGGAAATGTCAGCCGACGCCGGATCTCCATCGCGATGCCTGGGTCCCGGGCCATCTTTTTCAACCTCTCCCTCTCAAGCCGATAGAATTCCCTCAAGACAAGGCGCGATTGTGCGACAAGACAATACGCCGCACAACATAGCATAGTATGGTCATCTATTCCTAATCTTTGTTTCCGAGAAGGCTTTGTCACTGGGCTTTACGGAGTCATGCAGGAGGCCGTCGGAATTAGACAAGCCTCACAGGTGAGCAGCTTTTCGGACCAACCTGGCGCAGGGCCACGCACAGCAACGTGGCACTGTATAAGCGCAGCGGTTGGTTCACTGCATTGAAGTGCATTCACCAACCGCAAGCCTACTGCATGAAGTTCACATGTGGCAGCAGGAACGAATATGCCTCATGAAAGGTACCCGTCAGCTAGTGCTGCCGCTAGCAGCACATTTGCACGAGCTTTCCCATCGAAGGTTGAGTAGAGACTACTGCACAATGGGGCCCCGAACTCGCGTTCGCGAATCACGCTCGGCTGTTTGATGCAATGGAGACCAGAGTGTTCATCTACTAAGCCATACTCTAGCATGAGGAGAAAACTCACGCCACCACCAAGCATTAAGGACGCTGCCGCCGCGACCTCTGCGTCCTGCGTTCGCCATATTGAAACAAATGGTCGTTATGTATGGATTGTCATCGTCTGTCAAGGAGCAGGCTGGAGCACCGCTGCATCTTATGAAAACACTTTCCCCGCTCTACTCCGCCTGGCACCGCTTATCTCCTATGCTGGGCTTCGGCTCCCTCAGTGAAATAGTGCTTGGAGCGGAAAGATAGGCTAGACGGGGCACAAACCGAGGCCGTTGGTGGGAGGGCACACAGGCCCGCAACCGCGGCGAGCCAAGTTTGCACCTACAGAGCGACGGGTCTTCAATGGGTGCTTCCCGTCCCGGAACTCATCGGCCGGTCACTCAGGAGCGGAGCCTGTCGATGTCTGCGATCCCTCACCGTACGGGTCGGTTGTCCAGCAAAGCCAGGAACAGCGCGCACCTGCTCACTTAGAGTCGCTGGGGGTCCCCTTGAGTGCGATTGTAGGGCGCAAGGGTTCATCGCCGGAAGCGCAAAATTACTGCTCTTGCCGCCTTGACTTTCGTCGGAGATCTGTTGACAACCGACAGACCCGGAAGATCAGCGACACAATCCTTTGGAGCACGGAAATGTAACGTTCTCGAGTGTTCTTCCTTGCCACAAGCGTAAAAGGCTTCGGATAGCACTTGCTCGGGTGCACACTACGTAGCCAGCAGAGTGATTTCCTGCTAGACGTTCTTGCCGTTGCCTTGCATCGACTGATGATATTGTACGCCGCGTGACAGAGCGCTGCAATCTTGGCCTCGTCATCAGCAGGGCTAACGATATCGTTGTCAAGCTACGACAGGCCCGCCGAGAGAAGAAGAGGGCGATACGAGCGCTTTACTGGCCGCAGAGTCAGAAGCTGACGGTCTACCCGCTCCCATCCCGTCAGCTCCAGCCAGGTTCGAAATTCCGTGTATGCCGCTGCTGTGTTGTTGGAAGACCACTCCTGGGCGGCAGAGTAACTTCTTCCCCTTGGGCACGGCTGATCCGCTGACGGAACGCCTCTTCGCGCGCCAGGGCGTCGCGTAAGTGACGCAGCTCTTCATCGCGTCCAAAAGGCCTGACTTCCGTCGTGGCAGCATCGGCCCGTGAATCAGTCCAGTATTGCGACCGGGGCGGGTTACGAACCCAGGCTTGTAAGGATACCGGCATGTGCGACGAGGCGATTAAAGCGTGACTGCTTGCCCACCTTCCGGTCGTCGCCCGAAAGTGCTCTCTACTGAGATGCCGCTCGATTATCGGCTTACTGATGGTGCGGAACGGGCAGAAATCGCAGAGAAATCCATCGTGACACCGACACCGGTTATCGATGAGAACGCCGTCGGGTCGTGGGTCAACAGAAGTAGGCTCCTTGAGGCGCAGATCTGAGCGTCGTGGTGTATAAATCACCTGTCTGCGCCTCTCTGCCGGTATCTGACGTCGCGAGCTAGGTGCTCGGTCACAACGCTCGAGGTCGGCGATGAAGCAATACGGCAGTCGTCCCGAGAACAGACTAAAAGCTGCGCGGAGTCGATAACCGATGGCTGGACACTCGTTGGAATGTCTCCCTCCATCTCTTCAAATCAGCCGGTTAATACGCGGTGAATAGAACGTGTCACTGTCTTGCGTAGCCAGTGCAGAGCTTAGAAGGGATTCAAAGCCTAAATTGTCGCGTACCAGACGACGTGTCATTTGGGTCAAGACCTGATTTAGCGAAAAGAACCGATCTCCAAGGAAGTCACATGGCTAGGTACAGAAAGCAGATCAAGAACAGATTCATAGCCGCGCAGGCATCGCAGCACTGCCGGGGTGACCCACCGAGATCCGTGCCACGCAAATCAGGTCGTGATTCGGGACTTCATTGGTACAGTATACAGTCGTAGGTCTATTCACTATAGTTGTCGCGATGCATCTCGTCAAAAATAACTCGTTTCCGGAACGCCTTAACAGCGGCACCGTTGCGCTGCGAGCTTTCTTGCAACAGAGCTTGCTGTCGCCAGAGGCAGCATACGCGCTACCCGACTTGTTTATGCATCCGCTGTGCCGAAATTTGATCAATCGATACGGCGAATCCGGTGTTTTCAGTTAGACGTCCTAGATACCGATCTTGCTAATATGCTGCGCATTCGTAAAAGGCTTCCTAACGCACTTAATGCGTTCTGCCGTCTCTTTATCCTGCATTACGCAACATTGCGAGAGGCTATCACTCAGACGGCTACACTGAGGTAGTTGGAGATTGTCGAGAAGCTTATGGCTCCATGTCACTCATGACCGAGAGGCCGATGTAAAGGCTCACGCATGACGTGCCCCAAGTCCCCGACCTCTTCGTGTGATGGACCTGGATTTTAGTGTAGTAATTTCAAGATAGACCTCTTTCCAAACCATCACCCAGCATCGTCAGTCACCGCCCACTCGCTGGAACGCCAAGGATGGTCGATGAAAACCAGGGCCAATATACCGTCTCCGTCCACCAGGCAAGGTATTGGATTACCCGGACGACCTGGTAAACTCCTTCGTGATTCGTTGTCGAGCCTACGTTCTTCTTGGACCACAACAGCTACATCATGAATCAGTAACGAGAACGAGAGGCAGGACACAGGGGGTGCCAGGGAGCACCAGGTTGCATCTTACGGTACTAGCTCCCTCTCGCGTGGAGGCTACAAAATGCCAGTCCTCTCCTTGAATGATAAGACCCGGGAGGAAGGCCAAGCCTTGTAAGGTGGCCCCTTGGATTTGTGCAAGGCGTTCCAGATAAGTCCATTGCGCAGCATGCCATGTCCCGATTTGCAGATGCGCGTCATCCTGGCTGGAACCGCGCTGCTTAGACTCGATGCTTACTGAAATGGTCTTGTTGCGAAAGAGAAAGTGGGACGTGTGGTTGATGGACGAGTAGCCTGACATGTGTCGCATGCGATCAATGGCTTCAGTGACGACAGGCTTGTGTTCTACATCCGTTGACTCGGGGTCAACAAAGACGCAAAAGTCGACCATGCGAGGCGGCGTGCCTTCGATGAGCTTGTGGTGGATTGCAGCTGTTGTTCTGTTGTGGATGGGAAGAAAATGTCAGCCAGTCGGCTCTCATTTCGAGGTGGAGATACAACAAGTAGCACTTACGAAGGCGCAAAATTGATCAGGCCATCTCTAGCAGGGGCGAGAGGACGCCGCAAAGACAAGGCCAGTACACGGAAGTGCACTTCACGATCCCAGCTCGCCTCGTCGAACTTTTCCGCAATCCCGTACTGGGAAGTTTGGACAATAGCATCCACCTCCGCGAACGAAGGTATAGGTCCATATCGTTTGATGTATAAATCGCTCGCATCGTAAACGGCCTCGTCATCGAGATCGATCTCGGGATTGGACATTCGAATTGACTCCTGTGCAATGGATCTGTCAGGACAATCGCTGCAGTAACGCCGGAGGACGAAAGGGACGAAGGACGTCAACTTCATACCACATCACTATTAGGGATGACCCCTCTACTTTTTGCAATCCTGGAGATAATGCTGAGCGATTCTCGCAGGCTCCGCGCGCCAGGCCTGGTGTCAATGTTCTCGAGCGTTCTAATTGAATCTAGCGCATAGACCTTGATCGGGTTTTTGCTAATTTCAGCTATGCTGAATTGTTTCGTCGGCGACTTGGAGCGGCTAGGTCGCGATGATGAGGCCATGGAGTATGCACCGCTGCCCACGCTTAGAGACACACTGCTACCATCGCACGAGACCGAATCGCCTGGTCGCACGGCACGAGGGGTTTCGGTGTTGTCGTCGGGATTGAATTGGTAACCACCAGCGGGTATGAGACGCTGGCGCTTTTGCGGCGTAAGAGGCCCTCCTCCGCTTCGGTCGGTCATGATCGTTGTATGCACTTGTTCGTCGTCGGAGCCTGGAGGGGTGAGGGCATAACTGTTGCGTCGCTTTCGCTTGCGGGCTGTAGTTGTCGGAGACTCGTCGGAGATTATTTCGTGATCTCTGGGTAGATCCAGAACCCAGGCCTGGATATTGTCGTGAAGAGTGCACATTGAGATGTACGTCTACCGGTGTGTTTTCCGTAAGTGGGTGTCAACGCAAGGATGCTGTGGTCGTGATGGGGTGGTTGATGATGCAGCGTTCTCTAATAGCTGCCCGCCCTGGACCTCAGTTGGGTGTGCGTACTTCATCACCTCTGGCAGCGTTGTCTTGGTTGCTACAGCGATGCTACGCCACATTTGATTGGAGGAACAGCCCTAGTGCTTCATGGATTCGTGCACCACCCACCACAAATGCAGCCGCTGGTGCGGAGTACACGCGCTGACGTAACGCACCGGGGACGTCGTAGGAAGATCCAGGATTTAGTACCTACTTTAGTGCTTGGAGGATTCTTCGACGCCGTCGAGCTAAGCGCCGTTCAAGCGTTCCGAAACGCGCTACGTGGCACGACCCACCGCGTGGCAACTCTAGGCACGTTCCGACGCGATGGACCTCGAGCCGTCCATCACCGTTGCGAGGGAGGTGGTACAGCGAGCGATGAGAACCTGCTACCACGAAGGGTGCGAAGATCATCCGCGAAAGCTCGACTGAACCATACGCACCAAGAGATTACCGAAGATGCGATCGAGCGAGCGACCGAGACTGCTGGCAGTGGCCGGCGGGTGACGAATACTCGAGCCGCAATACTGGCCAAGGAACGCGCGAAGCCAATTGAGGATGACGATAAAGGGCTGCTTGTGACAATGGGCAAACAGATCAAAGAGCTATGTACATAAGTGTTGGGTCTCAGTATGTATCCTGTCGACAAAAGATCCACATATGTCTGTGCACAGAATAATTCGCATCCGCAAAGACGGAGACCAAACCCGCTTTTGACTGTAGCCTTTTCTGGGATTAAGTCCTGCAAGACCCGTCTCCCTCTCATGTGGATAAGCTCAGTTTGACAGCGAAAAGTAAGCCAAAACAGCTCACGAAGCACGTTAACAGCTGAAGCAACGTGTGGACTCGTCCCACACACCCCGTTACGCCCAGTGTGGTATGTACACCACGCCATTCCTTTCTGGCTCCTAGGGTTGCTGCGATCGTTCGCACATTGTACTAAAAAGTAGTAGGGTCAGAACAGAATCGGAAAGTTCTCAACAGCTTCTGGGAATCACGATGGAATTGGAAACTGACAAACCGTTAGTAAGTCATTTCTGGCGCTCTCACCTAAACTCTCATAGCGGCTGTTCTTTCTGTCCGGAGTGGGTACACCGTCATCTGCCATCCCATGTCGAACCGTGCCTATGTACTCACCTCTGACAAAAGATACTGACTGCAAGGTCTGGTCAAGCCGACTACGCCTTTTGCTGCCCCTGTTGTTTGTCCATGTGCCTTGTAAGCGCCAAGATTGACTAGATAGTGCTCAATCAGACATTCAAGAGTTGGAAAAGCAGCCACGAAACTCGCAAACTTCTGTACCATGTCGCAATCTGGCCAAAGGGTTAGAGCGACGTAGTCCCTTGACCACCGCCATAGCAGATGTGCGGGATATCTCCGGCAGGAGTATCTCGGGTCAGCACAGGCGCAAATGGTGTTTCTTACTCAGCCGCAGAGACTCCAGACCTGACCTCCTGGGTCTGTATGTACAATTTCGTCAGGGGAAGATGACAGCGGATAGCAAGAACGCGACAGCTGTCATCTTGCCGCGAGCCCAGCACTGCGCGTTCGAGACTGGTAGGTGGGACTCGATCTGGTTGTCGCCGCTTGGTGGCTGTGGCAATCAGAAGACCGAAGTACGGGTCTCCTCCAGAGTGTCAACGCCCTGCCGACGGAACATACGGAGTACGTCTGGGTGGGCTGCCGATTCGCAATCGAGGACGCATCCTACTGTGGTTATATGTAAGTTCAACTCATGGCCATATATTTGCGGGCAGCGGCCCACTGGCCTGGCGATCTGGACAACTCGACTGGCCGAAGCCCAGCTACGAGCGTCGAAGTACCGTTGCTGCGATATTCGAAGTGTTGCGCCACAGATACCTGACAGGGGGTTTTACTTTGGCCTGATACCGCAGTAAACGGGTGGTATACAACCACCTCGACTGGCTCGAAGCAAGGACGGCGGCTGCGTCTAGGACACAAATGATCTGCAGTCAATCAACCGTCTGGTGCCCAAGCGCAGCCTAATGAGCTGGCACGAGCTTGACTGTATGCAGCGACCGTGTGTGCTGGGCAAATGCACCGTCATAATGCCTACGTTGCGGTACCTGGGCACAGGGTAGCCGAAGTATCGTACACTCAAGTTCAGGGGACGGTAGGCACATACCAGGTCGTGCGCCTTGCGCCATCCAATCCCTACACTGTTTGCCAGCAGAAACGGGTACGTGGCGGCGTGTTAGCGGCACGTCTGGCGGCTACGCTTCGTCGAATTCATGCTTGCAGGCACGTGGCAGGGTAGTTACCGATCTTTTCACTCCCTGCCGCAACGCGTCGGTCAGGATTATCGCCCTTTACAAGAACGCCTCGTTTGCTACTCTAGGTGGTGCGGGCTCGTCCTAGCGGCCGTGAGATCGTGGCTCCCGAGGGAACCCTGGGCAAATTGGCGTGCTCAGAAGGCATAACGCAACGGCGTCTGGCACGTCTAGCACGCGGTTCGCCTACCATACCGCGATCGGGTCTGCTAGGTAAGGCTTCATTTGGGCATAAACGTCGCCACACCACCTAGCAAGGTATGAGAGCAAGACGCAAAGCCGTTCGTGGGGGCATCGTACGGATTCCAGGTCATTCCCCATCCCCGACATGCCCCTCCCCTCCGGCATCAAACTTGTCGATGGAGTATGTTCGATCAAGGCTGGGAAGAAGTCGGGACGCCAGACTTCAGAGCACAGGGGACGAAACGTTGAAGCCTGACCAAGTCACGGGTTTAGCCCTGCAGACGCTGTCGCCAACAAACATCCCTCTCGTCCCGCTGTCCTCTTTTGGGTCAGACTGGCGCCGAAAAAGTGATCCACAATACCTCCTACCAAAACCTCAAGACTAGCCACTCAAACAGCAGCCCAAATAGACCGATACTAGTAAGATATTATGTGGAGTGCATTGAAGGCTGTTGAGTTCGGCTTCTTCCAATTGACCAATCGTTGCCAACGCCGCTGACAGATTGAACATGGTTCTGAGCGTAAAAAAATTCTCTCGACCAGCAACACTCGTCATTGCAGCCGACGCTTCCCTAAGTACCGAAATAGCTTCGGCATGGTCGTTGCTGAACGACTTATTGAAATGCGAAGTGACGGCGTGGAAGGTCTTTTCGGCGCCCAAGCTTTTGACCAGCTTTTTAAACGGATCGACGGAGGATGCTGGTTCCATGCCTGTTTGGTTTGCTGGGGTGAATAACGGGATAGATGTGGTGTTGTCGAGGAACTCGGCGCGGCCCTGGGGTGTTTGATAGGACATTGAGATGGAGGAGGATGGTGTACCTCTGTTCATAAAGGCGACGCAGGACAATCCCCCCACCCCGCATCTCAAAGAACACACCTGTACGGTTCTAGTCGGCCCGTAATCAGGAACGGAGCAAAGAATCGAATCTTGGCACCAACTGGGCGATTGACGAGCATGTGTGTGGGTCGTGTCAGCGCTACGCCGGGCGAATCGCGGCCTGAGAAGCAGCACAGCTCTCACCATCTCTTCAGCCGGAACACCAGACGTCGTCCAAAGCGGTCCCGACCCTATCGAAGTCGGCTGCACGCTGTCACCTAGATCTCACCCAACATCCATGATACTGATTGTTCGACGCATTCCGCAGGGATCAGTGCCGGGATGGGCTTCCAGTGGCCTGTACCAACAAAGAATGGATATGTACACAGTAGTGGTTCCATAAAGAGTAATTTGCGTTTCTTGCCGCGCGTAAGTGACTTGAGCGTAATGTTGGAGGCCCTCAGTGGGGGGTACGGTCGCAACAGACCTGACTGAGGGGTATCTGTCGGGCAGGGTCGTCATACTGTGCGAACCGACTTTTGTCTCGTCGTGTTGCTAGCAGGCACTCCGATGTGAACACGCGCCAAGAATGCAAGCAGGGTTCCTCGAGGAGCGAGAAGTACGGAGTACTTTTATGAGCACTGCTTGCAACAACTCAAGGCTTGTGGGTGAGGTATCTGTAGTTGATCGGAAATTAGACGTTCTAGACTGATTCTTCCCCCTGTTGAAGCTCTCTCCGTATGGGTTCTAATTCAATGCAAAAACTCACGGCAGTGATCCGAATACTATAGAAGTGCGTGCCTATTGTCCAGTTAACCTCACATGTGGAGATACCGAAGCTTGCTTTTAAGCTTGACGGATGGTGGTGGAAGCTTATCAGAATGTGGGAGGCGTGAACGAAGGGTCCGATCCCCGCGTCGAACAGCGGGTGAACGACGCTGGGTGGAGCCAACAGCAGCACGGCATCGTCAAACACAAACGATCAGTAACACATCACTCTCAAAACTGGCACCACTAGAGCTCCTCTGCTATTTGCTTTGGTGACACGACCGCCCCCCCCCCCCCTGCAGCGCTGTGACATGTCTCATTCCCCAACCTCGATGGCGATGCTGAGGAGACGTCGCTGGGATTGGCAGTTCGCGCTCTGGGACGCGTCGTGACCCCATGTTGTACAGCCACCTCGACTGCTCGAGGCCGGGATGGCGT